TCTTTCTTTTTTTTCTTTCTCCCATTACAAGTATTCACTTTGCTTTCTGGTTTCTGGGCTTTCGCAATGATGTTCTAGATGTTGCTCTTGATATTCTGATATCAATATATATATATATACATATTATATTTTTGAACCCAAAGCAACCCTCCCCCCCCCCCCTTTTTTTTCAAAAATAAAATGTTTTTTAAAATAATGATGGTAATTATAACTGGGGTCAAAATGGTTGATGGTTCAGGAATTGGCCTATATTATTATTATGGAGAAATTCTTATTACTGCCATTGTGAGCGTACATTTTGCTTACTTAAAAAGAGAATCTAGAAAAGTGAGTTATTTTGTGGGTAGTTTTTACTACTATTATTCCGGCACTTGCAACACAATTAGGTCATTTAAGTGTCGTAGATTAGAGGTGTTGCTAGAGAGAGAGAATACCGCGCAAAGAAAAGACGGAGGAGGAAAAAAGTAGCGTATAATATGTCTGAAAGAGTAAGTAAGTTGATTCAGTGTTGAAAACCATTGGCCCACATCACATCATAAAAAACACTCATTTGTTAAAATAAAGTTTCCATATTGAAAAAGTATAGGTTGTGCACATATATCTTGTCTTAGGTCAAACATTGCAGATTCCTGTCACTGGGCCGAGTCAGGCTGCAGGGAGGAATTAACAATTGCCTTTGATGCGTAGATCTGTACGTTTGATGGGAAAGAAGGAGCAAAACCCACCAGAGCGCCCACCAACCACCCTATGTTGGTGTGTTGTTAAAGGAACAAAAAAGTTTGGGTGGTTGGCCGGTGCTCTGGTGTGGTTTGCTCCTTCTTTCCTATTAAACATTTATCGTCGTTATCTCTCCTCCTTCTGTTTTGTGTATGTTACTCTCTTGTAACACATCTGTTCTTTGGCACTTATATGACATTATTGTGTTGCAAGTGCCGTAAAACTCTTACTAAAACGAAACTGAACATAAAAAGTTTTACTTGTTTTGTTGACTGAAACATGAGTTGTGTTTCAATTTTTTTTAAACAAGGATAATTTTTGTTTGCTCCACGTATTGAAATCTCTCAACTGAGCCCCACATGTAATTGAAGTAGGTTATTATGTTCTTCTGAACTTTGATTACCTTGAAGTCAAAGCTACTGTAACTTTCAATATTTAATGTGGTACCCTTATCTGTAAAAGTAAAAGATTTGTTACTACCTTGCTTCTAGACTAACTAAGTGGGATTAGCTTTGTTTATCTCTCATTGCGTCGTGGGGCCATTGTTACATCATTGACATTATTATTAAGCCTAATATATACAAAAACTCCGAGAGAGGTAATTTTACGTAAAATCGTTGTAATATATTGGGGGTTTTCCAAGGTCACTTGAACTCTTTAAGGACTAAGTGGACACATGTGTCCGACCAGCAAGTAACAGACCGAAAGACAATGTTGCGGCACATTTCGAACCATTATACACAAATAAATTACATGAATTTGCATACTTCATAGTATGCATGTGTTTTTGCCAGCCTCATTAAAGTTTCAGACAAAAAAACAGAAAGGAAAAATCTGTATGAATAACCAAGTTACGCCTCTATTTTTAAAGTACTCCAAAATAATGCGTCTTCAATGAGTTAAAGTATGCCTGTATCAATAAATACCCCCATCGCTTACTGCTCCTTTCCTTTCTTTTTCTTACGTGGGAAGGGAAGACGTTGGGGGGGGGGGGAAGAAAGAGAGACTTTGTAAAAAAAAAAAGGGGGGGGGGTACTTTGTCAGTTCCAAAGAGAAGTTGGCAGCTCATGTGGGTACTATGTGCGTATTTTGGATGTCATATCTACCTCAAGAGTGTAAAACCTAACCGTGGACTACCCTTTGTCGATTGTGATCTCAAAACAAAGCAAAAATTGAATAATATAACGGTGATCATATGGTTTAGTTCTGAAACTGTGAGTTCAAATATCTATCCCCACTGCATTTTATTTGAATGTTAGCACGTCGTTCTTCATAAATACAATTGAGCATGCTCCTATCATGGTTTGAGAAGTCGATTTCTTTTTTTTACGAGAAGAAAAACATCTAACAATATTTAACTTTCCATTTCTCATGTTTATGTACAATCTGCAAATATTTAACTTTCTATTTCTCATATATTATACAATCTACCAATATTTTAATTTCTATTTCTAATGTATATAT